ATTTTGGCAACATAGCCCAGCTGAGCCCATCGACAATCACTTCGGGGCGCATAAAAATTGGTGTCAGTCGTACTTTTGAACTCAGAGGACTGATACTGAGTTATTACTAAAGGCTTCTGCAGTCAACATTATATGCCGCAGTGCATTGATGGCCGATGAGCCATTCACAGCAAATCTCGAGGCTTACTGTCAAAGTAAGTTTTGCTGTTACACGATAATTCAAACTCACACACGACCATTTGCACCTTTAAAATGTTCAAAGATTGGTTTTTGGGGTTCCGCGCCTCCAGCATTTACTCCATAAAATAATATTTATGATGAAAATAATAACTGTCATAACATTAAGGGGAGTTGAAACTGTTTATAATAATCCCGTCTCGTCATACTCTTTTTTTTTTTGTGATTGTTCCTTATTTTTGCTGTTACTCCACCTCGATTGATCTTTTTTTTTTTTGCAGGGATTTTTGAAATTACCTGCTTTCGGACAAAACAGCAAGGCTGGCGAGATGGCCGCGGCTTCAACGAGAATGACTTTCTGTCCTCATCGTTCTGATGTTCTTCCAAAAGCTGGAAATGCCATCGGTGAAGAAAATTCGCCTTCAGAGGCCGTCAATTTGGTATCCTGTTGTTTTTGTTAGGTTTATGATGTATTGTGTTGAATTGATGAATTTTCCCTCTGAAATTCTTGCAGAGCTGTTTGGTAAGCAGTATCTTAACCAAACTCCGATTAAAGCCAAAAGCACCTTAATATTGGCAGCCGCCGATTGAAATAACACCTCCACTAAAACGCCCTACTTAATCACAATGAAGCCTCCTACCTCTTTACATGTTCTTCCGTTCTCTTCCAATGGTATTTATTTGAACGCTTTTTTAGCTAATTTCTTCGCACCTTTGCCTAAGTGCTGCATCTTCTGCTTAAATTCCGCACTCATTTGACTAGATTTTAGCTCCATACAGACCATTTTTATGTGTTTTTGTGTCATTTTTTTTTTACTAAAAACTCATTTTCTCGAAATCATCTTCGTTTGTTTTTGTGTGTATCTGTCCAGCTTCAGAATTATAAAAAGTAAGCAGCCAACATTCCATGAGTAGTGAAGTCTTGAAATATATGCATCTTTTTTCCCGTCCTGGTCTATGAGCGCAGGTCGAAACGCTAATTTCTTAAGTCGATGACGAACAAAGGTGGAAAAGTAGAAATTGTGGGGTGAGATTCATCACACAGTATTTTTTAAACACCAGAAATCAGTATTCCATGTTTGCTCTGATCTATGAATTCAGGCTCAGGTTAGTGCTATTTCTGTAACGTTAGAAAACAGGAAAGCCTTTGATATGCGTCTACAATTGTAGGTCGCAGTCGAGGGATCAATTCATGTATCATTTCTTCAAAAAATCGTATGAACATCATGCTAGTTTTTCGGTATATGTGAAACAGAGCATATGCTGCCTGGAAGAATGAGAAAACGGTTTTATTCTACGCTGGAAAAGGACAAAGTTACATCCTCAGTAAGAAGCGCCCCAGCAAACATCTCTTGAGAGTTCTCATCATCGGCCGTTTTCTCCTAAGACTAAATTCTGATAAATCCCTTAAAATCAGCCAAGTCTACGTTCCTTTTATTTCCCATATACTCTGTCGAAAGTAGCTGAACGTAACTTTTTTCATCTTCTGCTTATCCGAAAATTTTCTACGCATGTTGTTAGCTTGGCCTTTTTGACACTGCTGCAAGCTGTTTCGACGCAAATGCTTACTTAAGCTTTTTTCTTGAGGAAACATCACCGAATGCTCAGCAGTCGTATGGTTTACGCTAATTATTGATATTTTCAGGAAGCTAATAACATCACAGCTAATGAAATGCAAGAAATCGAATCGGCAGTCGGACGTATGACACGCAAAAGAGCAGTTTCCTACGAGGAACTTTATCCTACTTTATTCCGTCGGCGGCGCAAACTCCCTGCCGCTCGTGTTAAAAGAGCTTCAGTCGTTCCGACTGCAAAAATACCTGGCGGTTTTCCCAACTCTGTTGAATCCGAAAATACCGTTCCAGTAGAATCCACGCCAGACTTCGTAAGTGCAAAAGCATCGGTGAAAGGCGATGGTGCAGTGAAGCGGACAAAACGGAAGCGGAGCAGAAGGAGAAAGCAGCGCAAATCTATTAACAGTAAGTGTCACATTGTTAGTTCCTGAACTGCATTTGAGATGGCTGAAAATACCTTATCAAATCAGTTTTGTTTTTTGATGTCGTTGGATTTCGTAGAGAAAGACGAGCTTTAATTTTGAGCATTTATATACTGTAATGTAGCAAGGATTTTTTTTTT